CCCCCCGGGGTTCTGCGGCGGGGCCAGCGCTCGCCAGCCGGTTCGTAAATGACCCGCATGGGAGGAAGCGCGAACTGCCCGAGTTTTCTGACGACGCCAAACTGTGAAGGATGATGCAAAGCATAAGGGACTGAGAGGGGCTCCGAGGGGGTCGCCCCCACCCCCCGCGAGCACGGGGCCAAAGCGGCAAATGCAGTTCGGTATGTTGGGGCAAAAGATTCCCACCTTCAGCTATGCACGGATGGGATCTGAGCTAGCGAGGGATCTTGGGGTGCTAGTGGACAACCCGGCAAAAATTTCGCCCCGGTGCACCATGCGGCGCAGAAGGCAAACTCCACCCTAGGCATAATTAGGAACAGACTGGAAAATAGAGCTGCCACGATCAGAACTTCCCTCGTGCAAATCTTTGGTGGGACCACCATGGACTGTCTCGTGCGGTTCTGGCCACCGTTCCTGAAAGGGACATTCGTGAGTTGGGAGAGCATGGGGAATGGTCCTGGAGCAGCCCCCCTTTGAGGACTGACTGCAGCTGGGGCCGCTGAGCTCAGAAGAAAATCAAGTTGGGGGGCATGGGGCGGGTGCTTAAAATAATGCACGGTGTGCGGATAGCGGAATGGGAAGCATTTTTCCCCTTTTCCCATGAAGCTGATCAGTGGGAGGTTTAGGGGAGATAAGAGGAAGCATTTCGTCACACAACACATAGTTAAACCGTGGAATTTGTTGCCATAGCCATTGGTGGCCATAGCCGCCAATCTGGGTGGCTTTGAAAAGGAATTGGAGGGATTCATGGAGGAGGAGGTGACTATCCGCGGCTGCCAACCTTGCTGGCCACATGCGGCCCCCTCTCCCAGAGATGGTGGGCCTGCAGGCACCAGTTGCTGAGGCGCTTGGGCAGGTGGAGGTCTCACCCCCGTCCTGCCGGAGGGAGCCCTGTGCTTTGCCCAGGTGGGCATTTGGTCTGATCCCGCAGGGCTTTCTCAAGTTCTTAAGCAACCCTTTCCCCTGCGGAAGGAATAGCCAGATCATCTTGCCTCCCAGCTTGATTTCTGGGAACCAGATAGTAACAGAGTGCCTCTGACCATGTGCAGAGAGAGTGCTCTTCGGCCGGTCTCATTTCCAGTTCCCTCTGGTTGTTGGGCAGGCTGGGAGTTGCTGGTAAGGGAGACCCAACCTGGAGGTGCTCGTGGCCTGGGGTCAGGCCACGCAGGGCGGTGCTGGTCCTCTGGCAGGGGCAGCCACATCTCTGAGGGAAGCTAACCGGCCTTGCTCTCCCCCCAGCTCAGTGCTGCCTGCTGCTGTTCCTCGGGCTGCTGCTGGGGGACGGCTGGGCGCTGGCTGCTCTCTACGCCGCCTGGCTGTACCTGGACTGGGACACCCCGGCCCGCGGGGGCCGCCGCTCGGCCTGGGTGCGCCAGTGGGCTGTCTGGAGGTACTTCCGGGACTACTTCCCCATCACGGTGAGAGAAGCCGCCGCCGGCATCCCCGGGCTGCCCCCTAACAGACAGCTGCGGCAGTGCAGGCTGCCTCCCCTTGTGGGGCGCAGGCCCCCTGCTCCCCCCTTCCTGTCCTCCCCCTGCTGCCCTTGGAGCCCGGCTACCCAGAGCCAGTCGTGGCTCCATGCCCGCTCTGAGCCGTAAGCACTCAGCCCTGGAATGCGGGAACTGCGGAGCCGGCGGTGGGCATGAGTTGGTGGCCCTGCCGGGCATTGGCGTGGGTTTGGCGAGCCCTGCTCGGGGCGTTTTGCTGGGGCTGAGTGTCTGATTGTGGGGGGGAGCATTTGCCCTGTGTTTGTGGGGGGGGTGCTGGCCACGCTGCCATGGCCAGGAGGGGCCCCGCTTGCGATGCCACTGGCCCCAAGTCGCCTGCGAGGGCAGCGCTCTTCTGCCGCCCAGGAGTGCGGCTTTCCCCCTGGACTGGGCCACGTGCCCCAAGATAGGGCTGTTGGCCCAGGACCCCGCGAGGCTCCGCCGGCCCCGTGGCAGCGCCCCGTGCAGGGGAGGGGCCGCAGCACAGAAGGCCCTGCAGGATGCCCCAGGCCAGCTCCCCTCGGCACCTCCACTGGGAAAAACCCCGAGAAGTGAGCTCAGAACCCTGAAAGGGGGCTTCTGTCTGCTGGAGACGGTCCTGGGGGGCAGCGGCCATCCTGTCCGGAGGCCTCCGTGGGTCAAAGGGCAACTGGAGGGCAATTTCTTGGGAATTGCAGCAAGGCCAAAAAGGGGTTTTCTGTTACCAACTGCTGCCCCCCTTCTCCCCATGGCAGCTGGTGAAGACGGTGGATCTGGACCCTTCGCAAAACTACCTCTTCGGTTTCCACCCCCACGGGGTGCTGGTGGCTGGCGCCTTCGGGAACTTCTGCACAGAGGCCACGGGCTTCTCCAGGCTGTTCCCGGGGCTCACCCCGCACCTGCTGATGCTGCCCTTCTGGTTCAAAGTCCCCTTCTTCCGAGACTATATCATGAGTGGGGGTGAGCCGGGGGGGGGGCGGTGGGCAGCCGTGCTTCCCAGCTCGGGGCAGTCTTCTGCTGCGGCTGAGGAGGTGCCCAGGAAGGGTGCCAGGAAGCCGGGGGGGGGGGGGCGGGGCCGGGGCCGGGCTCCCGGGGCGCCCCTGGGAGCCCACCTCTGCTTCCCTTCCGCAGGGCTGGTTTCCTCGGAGAAGGCCAGCGTCTCGCACCTCCTTGGCCACGAGGGTGGCGGCCAGGTGGCCGTGATTGCCGTTGGGGGCCCGCCGGAGTCGCTGGAGGCCCGCCCAGGCGCCCTGACCCTCCAGATTCTCGGCCGCAAAGGCTTCATCAAGATGGCGCTGCAGCATGGGTGAGGAGCCGGGGGCTGCGTGGCTGCCCCACACTGTCCCCTTGCTGGGCCGGGGAGGCCGAGCAGCAGCCGGGAGGCGCGTGCGGCTGCAGGTTCCCCTCCGCCTTTCTGAGTGGCGATGCAGGGAGGCCCAGGGAGCAAAACTCGCGCGCTTGCTGGAGGCTGCCCTGGAGCTGCCGCCCTGGATTTGGGTGGCGGGCCATTCGAGCCAGGAACTGAACGCCCCCCTCTGCCTCCTCCTCTCAGGGCTGCCTTGGTCCCCGTCTTCTCCTTCGGGGAGAACGAACTCTTCAACCAGGTGTCCAACCCCCAGGGCTCCCTGATCCGCACGGTGCAGGAGCGGCTCCAGAGGATCGTGGGGCTGGCGCTGCCCATCTTCCATGCGCGGGGCGTGTTCCAGTACAGCTTTGGCCTCCTGCCCTTCCGGAGGCCCATCCACACTGTGGGTGAGCAGCGGTGGGCTTTGGGGCGCGGGCCGGGCGAGGGGCAAGGGCTGCAGTGGGGCGGGCTCTCCTGCGGCTGGAGGCAGAGCTGGAGCCCGGTCCGGCTTGGCAGCCCTCTTCTGTGGCCACTCTGACCCGCGGGGCTTCGTCTCCCCCCTCAATTTGCAGTGGTACGGCCCCCCTTTCCTACCCCCCCGCCCCGTTGCAGCAGTCTGTCCCACTTGGCTGGCAGGCTGACCCCAAGCCCGGCTGACGCAAGGCGCTGCCCAGCCGCTGGCCTCCGTCCCTCCCCAGCTGTCGCAACCCTCCCAGGCGGCCCCGGCCGAGCCGCGGACTTTGCTCCAAGGGGGAGCTGCAGCTGGCGCCGGCTGCCGCGGCTCCCGTGGGGGGCTGGCTGAGCCCCTCCGGCCCAGTGAGGGTCGCAGCACGTCTGCCGCTGGAGGTGAGAGTGAGTGGCAGGGCCCTCCTCCGAGGGACCCCCACCCCAGCGGCCAGCCCCCAGGCCCCCCGTCACCCTCCCTGGCTCTGGGCACACTGGCCCAGGCACCGCCGGATGCACCTGGGGCCGCTCCAGCGGGGGCAGTTTGGGGGGGCGGGCGAGGGGGCCGCGTGGCCCGGGCTGCCCACCGCGGCCTGCCTGAGAGGCGAGTGGGGTGCCAGCTCTCTCTTCCCCGCAGTGGGGGCCCCCATCCTCGTGCCCAAGTCGCCGCACCCGTCCCGCGAAGCCATCGACGAGCTGCACCAGACGTACCTGGCAAGGCTCACCCAGCTCTTCGAAGAGAACAAGGCCAGGTACGGGCTGGCAGAAGAGAGGCACCTGCAGCTGCTCTAGGGGACGCAAGGGGCCTTCCCGCCAGCGCGGCCCCGGGGGCTCTTTGCCCACCTGCCTCCTCGGGGAGCGGGCAAGGAGGACCCAGCGGGCACACCGGTTCATCCCCCGCTGGAGCTCCACTTGCTGGAGGAAAGCGGCGGGGGGGGGGGGTGTGGAAGGGCGGGGGGGCGGCAGGCACGCACAAAGGAGAGCTGGGGTCCTGCCTGGGGGGGTTAAGGCTCCATGGGGGAGGGTCTCGTAAGTGCCGTCTTGCCTCCGGGGCTGGCTTCCCACTGCTGTCGCCACCTCGGCGGTCCGGAAGGCCGATTCAGCGTAAGCGATCACTTCATTGTATCTCGTGCACAATTAAAGCGGCAAGACCTCTTGTGTGTCACGGTGCTGGTGCATTTCTCTTGGGACCAGGAGCTCCCTGTGGCTCCCCCACCCAATGCCAGGTGTGCGTGTGTGTGTGTGGGCGGGGGGGTGCCTGGGCCTGCCTGGTTGCTTTGTGGCCTCCCCTGCGTGGGCTCCCCCCACTCCCTGCAGCTGAAAGTGGGTTTGGTGGGGATGTCGGCATGCCCCTGGCCGGGGCTGCCCACCCCCTGCCTGCAGCAAGAGAGCTCGGGGGGGCTGGTAGCTGCCGGGGGCAACAGGGACGGCTTCTCCGAGAGCTGGTGGCGGTGCTGGAGCACCAGTAGGAAGAACAGAAGTATAGCAAGTCGAAGGGGGCCCCTGGCCATCTAGTCCGGCCCTGGCACAGGCCCGCTCTGCTCATGGGATGCCCAGCGTGTGGGTGCCCCATCTTCCCTTGAGTGCCCTCACTGATGGGGCCTCCACCACCTCCTGAGGAAGCCCATTCCATATCCTTGGGGTCCTAACCATCAGGAAGTCCTTCCTGGCACCCGACTCGAAACCTGTGCCCCATTGACCCACGTCCTTCCCTCCACCACAGGGGAGAGCAGGTCCAGACCCTCTACCTTGGGACACCCCTTCGCATAGCTGTGAGTCGCTCTAAGATCCTCTCGGAGTCTCCTCTTCTCGAAGCTGAAAAGCCCCAGTTCCCCCCACCTCGCCTCATATGGCCTCCCCCACAACCCGGCTGCCCTCCTTGTGTCCCTGCGCGGAGCTGATCCTAACCTTGCTCTGTCCCTCGTGTAACGTGGAGCCCAGGACTGGGCACGGCACTCCCGCCGTGGGCGCACTGGACGTAAGGCGAGCTGTAACCCTCCTCTCCTCTGCCACCCTTTTTGGAGACCGGGGCCACTGACGCCACCCTCCAGTCCTCTGGAATTCTGTTTCCACGAGGGCTCGAAGACTGAGGCCAGTGGCTATGAGGTTGCCTCTGCCGATTCCCGAAGGACCCGACGCGGTCGTGACATCCAGGGCCCCAAGGAGCTCCTCCGCTTCCAGGAGAGTGGCTTCTCTGTGCCCCCTCGGCTCATAATCAGCTTTGGCCTTGCCAAAAGTGTTTCCGCCTCCAGCCACCTCTTCCTGGTATACCCTTCTGTCCATTTGCCCCGGTGTCCATTTCCTGTGGGGGTCCCTTTGGCTTCCGGTCAGTCTTGTCACCCCTCCTCGCATCCGTGAGCGCACCCTCCTGCGCGGAGTTGTCAAGGCCGGCACCTCCAAGACTTCCCTGGTTGGTGCCCCCCACCCCTCCGGAGCCCCCTTGCCTTCCAGTCCCCTCTCCCAGGAGACGCCCCCTCGCCTGGCCTTCAGCTGGCGGCAGTTGGCCCCCGGGAAGCCCCGACTCCCAGTGCTTGACCTCCTGCTCGTCCCTGACCTGCTGATCTCGAGCCGTCACCCCGACCCAGGGCTCTCCTAGTCTGCACATCATCCCCCAGAGACCCCCATGGGTCAAAAGCAGTCTAGGATGCCAGCCCCCCCGTTGCTTCCTGGACCCTCCGTGTGAAAAACCTTCTCCGTAGCTTCCAGGAGCCACTTGCCACGGTCGGCTGCATCTCCCAACTAATATCGGGGAGGCTGAAATCTCCCATTATGGCCATTTTCCTCCCCTGCGATATCCTCCCAGTCTGGCCTATCGCCGCATCGCCCAGGGTCCCAAGCTGACCTGGGGAGTGATAACATACCCCCACTATCGGGTCCCTGCCCCGTCTAGGCCCGTCAGTCTCAACCCAGGTTGCCTCTACCTACCTGGCCCCCTTCTATGCTGCCCCCATCCCTTCCCTGACACTCAGCGCTGCACCCCCTCCCCTCTTCCGCTTCCTGCCCCTCCTAAACAGCACCCCCCTCTGCGTTTTCATCCCAGGCCAGGCCTGTTTCTGGGATCCCCACCAGGCCATGGCTGCCTATTTCCAGGAGAGCCTGGAGCTCCCCCTGCCTGTTTCCCATGCTCCTGGCCTTGGCGTGCATGCATGGTGGCTCTTCCTGCAGCCCCCCCCCCCCCCCCCCGCCTCCCCGGCACAGCAAGAACCTCAGGGCTGCTGCCCCGCCGGCCCCTGCAGCAGCCTCTGGCCGGCCCTTCCTGGGGTTCCTGCTTTCCACGAAGGCGACCCGCTTGGCTCAGGTGGCGGTGCCCCGCGCGGGGGAGAATGAGGTGCCCTGGGGCAGGGGGTTGTGGACCTTGAGCCGGTTTCCTGGAGTTCTCCTGAAGGTGCGGCAGGCAAAGGTCAGCAGGGGAGCCGGGCTCTCCTTCGTGTAAGCGCCGCTGCGGGGACGCCTCTGCCCAGGGGTGCACAGCAGAGCCCCGTGCCGTCCAGCCGGCAGAGCAGGCAGAGGCCTCTGCAGGGCGGCTGGGCCCGTGCCAGAGGCTCCTTACCAAGGGGGGAATGAGCCCTCGGAGCTGTGGGGCGACGAGCCTCCTTGAACCCGGCGTGATCACCGTTGCGGTGACTCATCATGCCAGCACACTGCCAGGCAGCCATCCTCACAGCCAGGCACGAGCTTTTTTGCTGTGGTGCGTCCCAAAGTCATGTCCGACCCATCGCGACCCCATGGACAACACTCCTCCAGGCCTCCCTGCCCTCCACCGTCCCCCGGAGTCCCCCCAAGCCCACACCCACCGCCCCAGTGACCCCATCCAGCCACCTCATCCTCTGCCGTCCCCTCCTTCTTTTGCCTTCAGCTGTTCCCAGCATCAGGCTCTTCTCCAGGGAGTCCTTCCTTCTTATTAGGTGGCCAAAGTATTTGAGCTTCATCTTCAGGATCCGGCCTTCTAAAGAGCAGTCGGGGTTGATCTCTTGGGTGCCATGATCTTAGTTTTCTTAATGTTGAGTTTCAAGCCAACTTTTGTGATCTCCTCCTTCACCCGCATCAAGAACATGCAAAGAGTGTTTTATAGGTGGGTGGACAGGAGGATGAGGAAATAATGAGACACCATCAAAAGGAATGTGAGATTGCAGAGGAGACTTGATAGCATTGATCAGAGATTAACATAAGGCGTGGGGATTATTGTGGGCCTTGGCTGTAAACTTGATCATGCAAATCAGGGTGATTACAAAGCTGCTGAAACCCTTCTCTGGACACCTTATCAGTTTTGTTGTTTGCACAGGCAAGCTGAGAATTCAGGCCTCTTAAAACAACAACCTAAACAGAAGCCTGGCTTGGAATTCTTGGTGCTTTCTGCGAAAGAGGTGCAGGTATTTTGATATCACAAAGGCACATATAAGCGGCCTTTCCTACCAGGATTAATCTGAATTTCCCAAAAATGCTACGGCTCAAGGAGTGGATGATGGGAAAGGGGCTGCCCCAGATCCTGGCGTGGGTGGCCCAGCCCTGCTGTGAGACACCAGAAGCGAGTTGGGGGAAGGCCAGTCCAGCCTCTGCAGCTGGGCGCTCGGGCACAGCGGCGGTGGGGCACCATCCCAGTGGGGAGGGAGGATGGGGCCCGTGGGCCAGCAGCAGCAGGGCACACGGCCCGAGCAGCGGCAAGAGGTGTGCTTCCCGTGGGTGCCCTGGCCCCCGTGCCAAGGGGGCTGGCAGCCACAGGCCTCTGCCCCTGCCAGAGCGGGCTGCCGGCCCGAGCGTGGGGAGGACCAGGCCAGGCACGGGCCCTCAGCCACACTCTTGCTGACTGCTGCCGGAGCATGGCCCGAGGTAGCCGTGCTGTGCCTCCCTGTTTCCCAGCGTCCCGCCCCACACCACAGAGTGGGGCAGCAAGGAGGGCTGAGCTGGAGCTGCATGGGGGGCCCGAGGCAGGGTAGTGACCCGGCTGGGCCCCCAGGAGTGAGTCGGGCCCTCACCCTCACCCTGGCCACCTCTGCTGGGGAGGCATTTGCCTGAGGGAGGGCACCTGAGGAGAGGGGGCTATTCCTGTGGGGGGGGGGCGGTTAAGGGACGCACCCAGTCTGGCCCCAGGACCCCCTGCCCTGTCGCCCCGGCGGTTCCCTCGTTTCTGGAGGCGCCCCTGGCCTGTTGCCCCCTTGGCCTGCTCCTCCTGCCTGGCCACGTGTGGCGGGGCCACGGTCCTTAAGCAGCTCCAGCGATGGCGGGGCTTGGCGGCACCGGGGATGTCCCAGCACCGGCACGGCCCGGGACGGTGTGTGCCGCTGCCTTGCTCGCCTCCTCCGTGATTTTCCGGAGGCAGACGCAAAGACCGGCAGAGCGTTCCTGGCGGGAGACGGCTGGGCCCTGCAAGCCCTCAGTTCCTGCTTCGCCTCCGTCTTCTTCCGCAAGGAGGAAATGCAGGCTGGACGTGAGAGATGCCGCCCGAGGTCGAGGGACACCAAGCTGGAATCGGCCCGTTCAGATCTCGGGCCGAAGGAGCTCCATCCCGGAGTCACAAAAGAGCTCGCGCAGGAACTCGCAGAACCACCGGCTATCATCTTCGATAAATCTTGGAAAACGGGAGATGTGCAGACGACTGGAGAAGGGCTAACGTCACCCCCATCTTCCAAAAGGGGAAGAAAGATGAACCTGGGAAGTACTGACCAGTTAGTCTGATATCAATCCCAGGAAAAACTGTGGAGCAAATAATTAAAAAACCAGTCTGCCCGCACCTTGAAAAAAGTGCAGTGATTAATAAAAGCCAGCAAGGATTCACCCAGAAGAAGCAAGCTTGTACTCCGCCCAGAGACTCTGAGCATTGGGACGGCATATACAGATTTTAAATAAATAAATCCCGCCAGACTAATTTAATCTTATTTCTTGACCAGATAACCTCCCAAATGGACAGAGGGAACACTGTGGACTGAATCTACGTCACCTTTAGCAAAGCATTCGGCCTCGTGCCCCAGGCTGCCCTGGCCGGGGGCAAATCTTTTGGGACTCCAAGGAAGGGATATGCAAGGGGCAGGCTCACTTACCCGGAGGATCCATCTGTGCGCAGAGTGAGCCGGCTGGCACTATTCCCAAGGTGTCTGGCAGCAGGGGCCCCGTGGCGGAGCCCCCCGAGCAGTCCGAGCGGGCGCGGAGGGACGGCCGCCCACGCGGCACCCGGCACTTGCCCGTGGCAGCCGGCCGGCACGAAGGGCGCTGGGGAGATGGAGATGAGGCGAGCCGGCGGGGACGGGGGCGCTTGTGCAGGTGCAGGTGCCGGGCAGGGAGGGCGGGAGCCAGCGGAGGGCACGGGCTGGGCAGGGCAGGGCAGGGCAGGGTCCCTGGTGCCGGGCCAGGGGCCCTCCGGCAACGGAGCCCAAGCTCATCCGGTGCGGCCTGCGGGAGGGCAGGGCAACCGGCAGGGCCGAGAGGGCCTCGGTTCGGAGCAAGCAGAGGGGCCGTCCTGCGGCCCGCCTTGCCAGCCCACGAGGGCGTCCCCCGGGAAGGCCCTCATGTGGGGCCAGATGAGAGACCGAGGCGCCACGTCGCCATGATCCCGGCAGGCAGAGCCTCCGGAGCTGCCCAGGCCTAGCAGGGCCTGCCTGCCCTGGAGCCAGAGCCGGGCCCGGACGGGGTGCGGGCCAGCCACGGGCCCCACGACCCTCTCACGTGTGCGCTGGCAAGATGTGGCCCCGATGGCGAGACTGTTCGGCGGGTCCAGAGGCGGTTGCTCATCGGACACGCAGATCGCTCGGCGATGGCGCCTTCTCAGCCGGGATGGAGGCAACCAGTGGGGTGGCAGGGCCCAGCCCCCAGCCCAGGGCTCTTCAACGCCTTTATTCATGAGTTAGAGGAGGAAGTACACAGAAAACTAGTCAGATTTGCAGATGATACAAAACTGGGAGGGATAGCAAACACCCTGGGAGACAGGATGAGGATCCAGGGCGATCTTTACAACTTGAATGCTAGGCCGAAAGCAACGGAAGGCGTTTCAGCAGGGTCAAATGCCAAGTCCTCCACCCGGAAAAAAGAAACCCGCTGCATTGATACAAGATGGGGAATACATGGTTCAAGCGAATGGAAAAACAACTTGGAGTTCTTAGGAACAACAGGCTAAAAATGAGCCAACGATGTGATGTTGCAGCAAAAGGGCAAATGCTATTTTGGGATGCATTAATAGAAGTATTACTTCCTAATCACGAGAAGTAGTAGTTCCCATATACTCCTCACTAGTCAGACCTCACCTGGAATACAGTGTCTAGTTCAGGACACCATGTTTTAAGAAAATGAAGAAAAATTAGAAAGGGTCCAGAGGAGGGTAACAAAAATGATCCAGGGTTTGGAAACACTGCCCTGTGAAGAGAGACTGTGAGAGCTGGACATGTCTTCAGCCTTGAGAAGTGAAGACTGAGGGGGGACATGAAAAGCTTCCTCACCGTCAGAGCAATAGGACAGTGGGACCAGCTGCCGGGAGAGGTCTTGGGCTCTCCCACGCTGGAGACACTCAAAAAGAAACTGGACAGCCCTCTGACCGCTATTCTATGATTCTATGACTGGAGAAGGGGTCATGTTGCCCCCATCCCCAAGAAAGGAGAGAAAAAGAAGGATCTGGAAACTACAGACCAGTCAGTCTCGCATCAATCTCTGGGAAAACTGTGGAGCGGATTATAATACAGTCGGTCCACAAACACTTTAAAAAGAAGGCAGTGATTTCTCAAAAGCAAATCCGGCGAGGCTGATCTGATTTCATTTTTTCATCGAGTAACTTCCCTGATTAACCCTGGGATGCTGCAGAAATAATCTACCTTGACTTCAGCAAAGCCTCTGACAAGGTGCCCCGTAATCTCCTGACTAGCAAATTATCTCAAGGTGGGCGAGATGGAACAGCAGCCAGGTGGATCCACAGTCGGCCATACAATAAGAGGACTCAGACTCCTTATCAGTGGCACTTTCTCAGACTGGGGGAGAGCTACTTAACAAGTGGGGTCCCATGGGGTTCAGTCCGGGACCCAATGCACTTCAATATTTTTATTAATTATTCGAATGAGGACGTGCAGGGAACAAGGATCAGATTTGCTGATGATGGAAAGCTGGGTGGGTTTGAAATGATATTCAAGTGCCAAGTGCTGCACCTGGGAAAAAGGAACCAAATGCCTTGTTACAAGGAGAGGAATACTCGGTTCAACAACACTGCAAGTGAGAAGGTTGTTGGAACTGTTACAGATTACAAGTTGAATAACAGTCAGCAATATGATGTGGCCGCACAAAGGTGGCATTAATAGAAGTATCACTTCCGAATCTCATGGAGTTCTGGATCCTTTTTACTCAGCACTGGTCAGGCCATCCCTTGGAGTCCTGCACCCAGTTCTGGGCACCACCATTAAAGAAAGCCAGTGAGAGAGCCGGTGTGGTGGTGAAGAGTGTGGGATTGGGACTTGGGTGATCTGGGTTCTAGTCCCCGCTCGGCCATGGAGCCAACTGAGTGACTTTGGGCCAGTCGCAGAATCTCAGCCCAGCCTACCCCACAGGGTTGTTGTTGTGGGGATAAGATGGAGGAGGAGAATGATGTAAGCTGCCTTGAGCCCTTTTAGGAAAAAGGCAGGATAGAAATCGAAAAATAAAATAACGAAAGATGCAGGCAAGCTAAAATGGGTTCAGAGGAGGGCAACAAGGACTGGAACAATCCGGAGGGCAACAATCCGGGGACTGAAAACGAGGCCCGATGAGGCAAAAGTCAAAGAACTGGGCGTGTTTAGCCTGGAGAAGGGAAGACTGAGGGGGGATGCGCTCGCCCTCTGCCAGTACTCGAAAGGCTGCCCCCAGAGAGAGGCAGAGATCCTTCTTCTATCATCCCAGAGTGCTGGACATGGAAAAGGAGGCTGCAGAGGCTCAAGTTACAGGAAGCCCGATTCCATTCCGGCTAGGTGCTACTTTTGGAGCAGTTCGGCAGCGGGGTCATTGGCCAAGCGAGCCCCGGGGCTCTCCCACGCCAAAGGCGTTCCAGCCGCGGCCGAACAGCCATCTGGGAAGGAAGGTTCACCTCGGAGCTCTGCCCTGAGCAGCGTCTGGACCTGAGGGCCCTCTGGCCCTTCCAGCTCTGCCCTGCAAGGGCCCCCTGTGTGTATGAGCGGGAGAGAGAGGGAGACCCGCTTTCGGCACCTGTGGCGCCAGAACTCCCGTCCCACCTGCTGCCTAGCAGAGCAAAAGGAACCACAGCTCCTGGCTTATCTGGCTAAGCTCCTTTCCCCATGAGCGGCTCCTCCCTAATTCGCCCAGCCGCTCCACTCCCACCTGGAACGCTCCCAGCCTTGCACAAGACACCCAGCCCGCCCTGCTTGTCCGCATGTCTCAGCGCAGCGCAGCGCATTCTGGCCCACACACCGGGGAGGCGTATGATTACCTGGAAGGGTGGAGGAGCATCTGCGGGGAGAGGGGGAGCGACGGGGTGGGGGGTTCTGGGCTCTGTCCTGGCTGGAGGCCAGGCAGGCTGCCCTCACTCCCACCACTCTGGACCCCGTCTCCAGCCAGGTAGGACCGGCCGGGCCATGACCTGTCTGGAAAGGCGCACCTCCTGTCTTCCCACTTCACTTCCAGCTTGTGCAAGGGAGCGCAAGGCACTGCTGGGGCCGGGGCTGTGAGTGTGTGTGTGTGTGTGGGGGGGCGCTCTTGAGGCCAACTTGCCGGGTGGGAGGCCACTCCCCCCCGATGCCGTGGGAGGGTGCTGGCAGGGCTGGCGGGAGTCTCGGCCCACACACCTGCAGGGCCACAGGCGCCCCGTCCCTGATTTAAGCACGCCGGGACGGCCGAGCCCCTCCTGCTGCCAGGGCTGGAGCCAGCACGGGTGGGGGAGGCCGGGCTGTGCCGGGCCCACCCCGCCTCTCCGGGCCGATGGAGGTGGCCAGGGGTGGGGGCAGGTGGGAGCGGGAGGGGCGCTGCGCGGCTGGGGGCACCCTGGGGGCCGGCTCCCAGCACACTCCACCCCCACACCTGCCGTGGGCCGTCCGGGCGGATGAGGCGTGTGCACCGCTTGCAGGGAGGGCAGGACGAGCAGGCGCAGCGCAGCAGAAAGCCTGCCTGGCTCGCGGGCCACCCCACGCCGTGGGCGTCCCGGCGAGCGCCGACTCCTGCCCGGAGTCACTCCCGGCAGCCGGGCTCCGTGGGGCGGCGCAGCGTGTCGCTCTCCGCACTCCGCCTGCAGCGGGGCCAAAGTGCAGGCGGCGCAGCGGCGACGTGTGACTAGGACGCCTTCCCCGGGGACTCAAGGTGCTCCTCCGCCCCGCCCCTGCCCCCAGCGCAGCTCCCTGGAGCCGGGGGGCTGGGCGCCGTCGTGCCGGGAGCAGGGGGGGCGGGGGGTGCCACACTCGCCTGCGCCTCGGAAGACCCCGCTGCCACTCGGCCACCCCTCCCCAGACTCGCCGAACCCCCGCACCCGCCCCGGACAGAGCAAGGGGTGGCGGAGGCATTCCTGTGCCTTCCCTTCTCTTCCCCCCACTCAGCCCCACGGCCGGCCCCAAGGAAGATGGCGAGGGTGCGGAAGGCCCTGCAGGTCCTGAGCGTCTTCCAGTGGGTGCTCACCTTCCTCTTCTTCGGTAAGTGACTGCGGGGCGGGGGCAGTGGGGGTGGGGGCAGGAGTCCTGGGACGGTCTGCCCCATTTTGCCACTTGAGGCAGGGCAGGCAGTGCCCCCCCCCGGGCACCCCCTGAATGCAGAAGAGCTTGTCCTCCGGTTCAGGACTGCGGCCTCTGACATGGCAGCATCGGGGGAGGACCTTCCCCCAGCTTGCCTAAATCTGCCTCCCCATTCCGAACCTCTGCCCCATGGATTGGGGGAGTGCATTCCCTCCCAGTTTGCTCTTCTCCGACAGTGTAGCCTAGTGCTCAGAGCGGGCCATGCCGTTTCCTTCCCGCTAGTCTTGAATCTGCCGCACTTCTTGCCAAGGAAGGGCCACGGGGCCTAACAAGGAGAGAACCCGGGCACGGCCCCCACTGACGTGGCCTCACGCCAGTGCTTTCTGGGGGTGCCAGCCAGCCGGGGCTCAGTCTCCCTGCAGCCCCCCAGGAGCGGCCTGGGGCCTGGAGGGGCTGGGGGGGGCCAGATGCTGCCGGGGGGTGCGTGCAGGCAAGCCGGCCTTGGGGGGCCGCCGCTGGGCCTTGCTGGAGTGGGCGGCCTCTGACCTGCCCCCGCAGGCCTCTTCTTCGCCTCGCTGCTGCTGTACCTGTTGTTCACCTCCTACTGGCCCATCTCGGTGCTCTACTTGGCTTGGTGGATCAGCGACTGGGACACGCCAGAGAGAGGTGAGTGGTTGCCCCCCTTCTGCCCCGAGACCACATCCGGGGGCCGAAGGGCTTCCCCGAGGTGGAAAGAGGCTCACCCCATCCTGTCGTCCCCCCCCCCCGCACCCCACCGAGCAGTTCGTCCCCAGCTGCCTGTCCCAAATGCTGCCTCGGGCAAGTGCTCAGGCGCCTTCCAAGGGCTCCGGAGGATTCTGAGAGGCGGGGAAGATGCAGAAAAGGGAGACCCCACCGTTTAGGAGGCCTGTGGGGCCGTTTGGCCTAGCAAAAGAGGGAGCGATGGGGGGCCCTGATGGAGTCCTGTGAAAGTTCGCCTGGCAGAGAGAACGCCAGCAAGGATTCCATCTTTCCGCCCCAGGCCCGAGTGGGGTCTCCCCTTGGAGCTGAATAGAGGGTGCAGGATTTGATGTGGGACAGAGGAAAGGCAGCCTGCCTCCAGCAGGGAAGAGCAAAGTGTGGAACTGTTGCGACGGTCTCCAGCTTGGGGGGCGCTGGGCCCACTTCTGGGGGAGAATCAGGGTGTCCGCGGCGATGAGTCTGGGCGCCTGTGGGCCGCCCCTGCTGGCCTCCACACGCCAGTGGGTGGGGCTCGTGCGTTCATGCCCCGCTTGCCGGCTTCTTCCGGGGGCAGCAGGGGGTAAGTGGAACAGAGCGCGGGACTCAGCCAGCCCCAGGCCTGAGCCAGCCCCCGGTCCTCCGCCTGTTCTTCTGGAGGGGGTGAGCATGCACCTCCCCGGCTCCATCAAGCGGCACTGCTCTTGTGGGGGCCTGAGCCGACGGCTCAGCTCAGCTCAGCTGACGCAGCTTCCCACATCCTGTGCCTTGTAGGGGGGCGCCGGAGTGACTGGATGAGGCGCTGGAAGATCTGGGAACTGCACAAGGACTATTTCCCCATCAAGGTGGGTGAAGGGCTGCGGGGGGGGGGGGGGCTCGGCTGCCCTGAAGGAGGACGCTTGCTGGAAGGGCTCAGCTGCGCTCGGCTCCCAAGACTTTGAGAGGAAGGTGGTGAAGCGCCCATCAGGGACCCGCGCATGGGCACCCCAGAGGGACCGTGCCGTCCAAGCCCCTCGGCCCCGAAGCGGGCAGCGGCCCGGTCAGCAAGACATGCGCCTGGGCGAGTGTGGAGCTGCCGCGTCGCCTCTCCAGTCAGGCGGTGCGGAAGCGGGAGCTGCGGGCCAGGGACCCACCTCAGCCCGCAGGCCGGATGCCGCGGGGCACCTGGAGGGCTTCCTTCCCTCGCCCTGCTCCGTGGGCCAGGTGGGCTGGCAGGGGGGCCGTGGGCGAGCACAGGCGAAGCAGGAGGCCCGGGGGGCTCGGGCGGGCTGAGCTCTGGCCCCCACTCGGCCATGGAGCTCGCTGGGTGCCTCTGGGCCACTCACAGACCCCCTGGCTCGCCCACCTCACAGGGTGCTCTTGAGGACAGAGGAGGAGGAGGAGGAGGAGGAGGAGGAAGGCTTCATGTAAGCCGCCTTGCGTTCCTTGGAAGGAAAGAAGTCGGGGTGTAGATGGTCTAAAGTTAACGAACAACTAGTGGGGGCTAGAAGGGGTCCTGCGAGGGGCTGCAATTCCGGGCATCTCAGCGGCTCCTCCTCCTCTGCCAACTCACAGCTGTAAACTGGGAAAGGCTGAGGGGGAACGGAAGGTGGGGAGCAACGTGGGACAGTGAGGGGCAGGGGACCTAAATCCCCACTTGTGCCCCACACCGTGAGGGGCACAAGTGTTTGAAGATGTCCTGTCTGGAGAGAGGCGGGTGGTGTGGAGAAAGTGGGTGAAGGGCTGTGCCCCCTCTTGTGGCAGGTAGGAATCGGGACAGGAGGGGCTCCTCCCCACAGCACCCCATAGTTAACTGGAGGAAAGTCACTGGTTGGGGCTGGGGGGCTAGCCAGAGAGGGCACTGGGGGGCTCCAGCTGGCCCCTGCTGGAAGGGTGCAGTGGCCGCTACGGGTGCTCTCTGTCCTCCCGTTCTCAGCTGGTGAAGACGGCAGAGCTGCCCCCCACGCGGAACTACGTGCTGGGCTCCCACCCCCACGGCATCATCTGCGCGGGAGCCTTCGCGACCTTCTGCACCGAGAGCACCGGCTTCTCCCTCGCCTTCCCCGGCCTCAGGCCCAGCCTGGCCCTCCTGGCCGGCCTCTTCTACCTGCCCGTGTACCGGGACTACATGATGAGTTCAGGTAGGCCCGGCTGCCGGTGGGCGGGGGCAGCCAGTGGGGGGTGACTCCCCCCTGCCCCCGTGGGGTGACTCTCCGAACCCGCTTTAGTCTGCCCAGTCATGGGAGCGTTTCTGTGCCCCACCGCTGAGGAGCCCTCCCTTCGGCTCTGCTCCAGGACAAAATAGGGGCGAAGGTGCCTTGGACTTCCCTTACCAAACCCATCGTTTGGTAATCGTTAGAAAATTCCCAAGAAGACGAACGGCAGTTTTCTAATCAGGAGGCCTTCCCACGAGGAAGGGTCTAGCGAGAAATCGGGGCGGCTCCGGGACGTTCGGAATGCCAGTAGCCTCGGAAACCTGCCCCGAGGCCAGAGCTGGGACCCCAGACCCTTGCAGCCGGCATGCCAGGAGCTGTGCTGGCTGCGAGCGTGGCCCCGGGGAAGGGCTTCCGGGGCAGGGCAGGGATCCGTGGCCGGCATCAGGCGCCCCTCCTGCGCTCCCGAGGCTGCCCCCTCCGGGCCTGCAGGCAGCCACTTCAGCGTGGTGCGGCCTTCGCCTGCAGGCTCCCCGGGCACGCCAAGGGTGCCCACGGCCCTCCGAGGCTGGGGGCTGCAGCCACCCCTCATGTTCCAGCGTTAACAATGGGGGCAGTGGAAGAAAGGAAAGGCAAAGGTCTCGCACACACTGAACGCCACATACAGTCGAAGGAGTCCGTCTAATTAAACTAGCCACGTGCCGCCTCGCGAGTCGAGTCTTGGGCTCCGCACAGAGGCCAAGGCGATCGCAGGGAAGGAGAGCATCGCAACAGTCCATGGAAGGGTCTAGAAGGGTCTAGAGTGCTCACTTTTATGCAATCTGCATTCAGCAAAAGCTGCCCCCCCCCCCCCGGCAGAGGCTGGTCATCCTTCTTTGGTTCCTCCGTTCCTTTGCCTATCTGCCGTTCTCCCAGCGCATTGCTCTCAGAACGGCTTAAAAACGGTCACAGCGTTAAAACAACATAATGAGCATCCATAAGATCTATACAAAAATACCAATCCCAGTGCCTCCGTTCCCTCTGACCGCTCAGCTGCACAGGCAGCGCTCAGGGAAGCGTGGAAAGCGGGCAGGAAGCGGGTGCGGGGCGGTCCGGGGTGCGTTGGCCACGTCGCTCCCCCTCGGGGGCCTGGAGGTCCCAGCATCCCATGCACAGGAGGGGGCCTGCTGGGGGGCGGCTGCCCCCGCGATCTGCGCAATGGCTGCTTTCTCCTGTCTGGGTGAAGCACCAGGGAAGGAGACAGAGGACAGAGGCTGGCACTGGGGGGGATCAGGGCCTGCTTGGGCGAGTCCCCTCACTGACCCCCCTCTCCTCCTAAGGGAGGCAGCCGCACAGTCCAGCGAGCGGGGCAGGGCACCCCAGACCTGGGGATCCCCACACCTCCTGTGCCCCCACCGGAGTTAGTGCTGCGGCTCCTGTGCCCCTCACTTCCCCCAGCGCCCCACTTGGCTGGCTTAAACCCCTTCCGTCCCGCCCCTCCGGTCTCCCCGGGAACCAGCCACCCTCCCTCCTGCCCACCATTCAGGGCATGTCTAAGAAGAGACCCGGGGGGCTGCCCCAAGTGCAAAACTGGCTGGCATGACGGGGGGGCGGGAGCTGCAAAACTGGCTGGCATGGCGGGGGGCCGGGGGCTGCATTTTTAATGCAAGCTAAATTCATGTTGTGCCGCCGGGAGGGCGCAGTGCGGGCTAAGCCGTCCCCTGGCCTCACACGACCTTCTGCTGTTCCCACCCCAAAGGATGCTGTGCCAATGGAGAGCGTGGCCCGTGAAGTTTAATCTGAGAGAGGGAGAGAGGGAGGGGCAGCCAGCCAGCCAGCCAGCCACCTGTACATGTCAAACTGCTCTGGGCTTGCTCGTCAAACATTTGTCGTTACGCACTGCCAGGTCATCTGTGCCTGAAGGCAATCCGTGATCGAAAGCGTCCCCAAAACTTCCTGTCTGTGACGGACAGCGCCATTCAGCGCTCCCAAGTCCGAGGCTGTGGCCTCCGTCACAGATCCGATCCACCTCATCTTCCCTGTCACCTTCTGCCTTCCATGCTCCCCAGCAAGATGGCCTTCTCCAGGGAGCCTGGCCCTCCCACGCTGTGGCTGAAGCACGGCAGCCTCTGTTCCGTCGGCTGTGCTTCCAGGGGGAATTGCAGCCTGGCCGGCTCGGGGACCTGCGCGCGCGTCTTGCTGGGGGTCCAGGGATCTGCCAGGCTCTCCTCTAGCACCACGAGTCAAGTGCATCAGTTTTCTTCCTAGCAGCTTTCTTCACTGTGCAGCCTTCACACCCAGACATTGTGAAGGGGAATACAATGGTTTGGATGATCTTAGCCTTGGTCTTTAGTGAAAGGTCTTTACACTTGATCTCTTCTAGTCCCTTCCTGGTAGCCCTTCCAAGTCTCTGTCTTCCTTAAATTTCTTGGCTGTGCTCTCCCTTTGCATTCATGGCTGAGCCGACGCATGTGGAAGGCTTTGCTATTCTGATTTCTTCCTTGTTAACAGTAACATTATGTAATTCTTCTGTGGACATGATTTTGTTTTCTTGACGTGCAGCTGCGGGCTGTTTTGCACTTTCTCCAGGACCTCTTTCAAGTCACGGCTGCTTTCTGCCAGTAAAATAGCGTCATTTGCATGTCTTAAATTAGTGGTGTTTCTTCTGCCAATGTTCACGCCTCCACCTGATTCCCAATCCGGCTTTCCTTCTGGCCTGATCTGCAGACGGATGGAACAGACGGGGAGGTCCATTCCCTGCAGAGGAGGGGAGAACAAGACACCCTCGTCTGATGCCATTGCCTGCAGGAAACCGTTCCGCTTCTCCATGTCCTAACTGTAGCTTCCCGTTCACAATACGGGTTGAGCCTCAGGACAATCAAGGGCAGAGGCACCCCACACACTCCGGGCCACCCTAGCTTCTTGCGCTCCACACAGTCGAAGGCCCTGCCGTAGCCCATGCAGCACGGAGAGACCTTTTCCTGGAATTCCAGTGAATCTCTGCAGACGGTCTTCGTCTTCCTTTTTGGAATGCATCTTGGGCATTCGTGCCTTGGCTTTCAATTTCAAAACAGGCACGGACCATCCCTGCTCCTCCTCTCCTGTACTGTGAAGTGTCGGATGACTCCGCCGGCCCATTTTCGGAGCGTCAACCTTAGAACCGATACCCCTCCCCGCAATTCTTGCTTATAACGGAGGATGCAGCTCAGCCCCCAGCGTTCTCTTCACACAGGGCGCAGCTGTGGGACGCGGGTGCCAAGGACAGCGGAGGGCCAAGTGCCGCCCTTTGCTAAGCAGCCTTTCATGCGAAATGTTATTTGCCATACCCAGAGGAAGGAAACAAGAGAATGAAAGGAGCCGGGGGGGGGGGTGGCCACATTGCTGGCGGAGGTGGGGCAGTCCTCTTCTGCCGCCTCCGGACTTCAGAGGAAGCAGGCAGGATGGCCCAGACACCAGCCGAGGATGACTGGTGTCCAGTGGGGGCGGCCTGGGGCCGAGTCACGCAGCCCCCGCGCCGTGCCGTGTGGGGCGAGAGCGGCTCGGCCATCGCCCTGCTTCAGGGCCCGTCTTTATCCTGTTCCAGGGATGGTTCCGGTCCACAAGCGCTCCTTGGACTCCCTGCTGCGAGGCGGGCCGGGCCGGGCCGTGGTCATCGTGGTGGGCGGGGCAGCCGAGTCCCTGGACTGCGCCCCCGGGGAGCACCGCGTCCACCTTCTCCGGAGGCGAGGCTTCGTGCGCCTGGCTCTGCAGCACGGGTACGGGTATGGGCCGGGGCAGGCGTGCGCGTGCGCGTGCGCGACAGAGAGGGCCGGGTGGGGGGGCGAGGCAGGGGCAGGACTCCTGAGGGGCACCCAGGGTGCGGCAGGGCCGAGGGGGAGGCGCTGCCGGCGGGCGGGGGTGGACTTCGCGGTTCCTCTCCACAGCCAGCACCCTCTCACCGTCTTTCGGGGAGGAGGGCCAGCAAAGCAGGGAGCCAGGTCAGCCTCTCCCCCGTGCTGCTAGCTTTCCAGCTGCAGGGAGGCAGATATTTTTCCAGCTGTTCTCCACCCGCACACTAAAGTGGTGCAGTCCAGACAGCTGTCGCTTTCACGATGCTTCCCCTCTCCCGCCTCTTGTATCCGCCAGCAAGCCAAGCAGGTGAGTGCCACTTCGGTACTGGAGGGGGCTCTCCTCACGCCTGCGTTGCCCCCCCTCCAGGGCAGACCTGGTTCCCGTCTACTCCTTCGGGGAGAACGACATTTTCCAGCAGGTGCGGTTCCCTGAGGGCAGCTGCGGCCGGTGGCTTCAGCTTCGCTTCAAGCAGCTCACAGGCTTTGCGCCCTGCATCTTTCGGGGACGGAGCCTCTTCAGCAGTCGCCTCTGGGGGATCCTGCCTCTGGCGTCCCCCATCACAGTTGTAGGTGAGAACCGCCCCCCAGCATGGCTGGCCACCAAAGGCTGCTGGGTGGCTCCTTGGGTGCCCCTTCCCAGCCCCCATGCATGCGCAAGGGGTCGTTTCGGCACACGCCTGCGTGGGGGGGGGTGGCCATCCACAAGGCATGCCGCCTTTTCTGATCAGCTCGGACACGGTCCCCCCCTCCCTGCTGTACACCCCCATTCCTTCTGCGCTCAGCCACAACTCGGACAGCTGGGGGGAAAGAGGTCTCCCCAGCACAGCGGAGCATCCCCCGTCAACTTGCACGGGGGCAAGGCCTGCGTGGAAGAGGGGAACTCGTGGATTCTGCTTTGTCGATGCGGACCAGCGCCAGCCTGCATTTCTGGGCCCTCCTGGAGCTCCGGGATGGCCGGGCTGAGCCCCGGCGCTCCGCGCGAGGGGGAGAATCGTGGAGGCCTCCCTGACCGGCGCTCGCACCCCTCTTGCTTCGCACAGTCCCGCCGCCTAGGCACCAGCAGGCAGGCGGCCTGGCCTTCGGAGAGGGTCTCCCGCCCTCCCCCACCCGACGCCCCCTGCCTCCCTTCCTAGGAGCCTCTCTGAGCGGCCTCTCCCCTTCTCTCCCTCTGCCCCTCCTGCAGTGGGGAAACCGATCTCCGTGCCACGGCGCCCCCAGCCCACGGAGGAGGAGGTGAAGCACTTCCACGCACTCTACGTCGAGGCGCTGCAGCAGCTCTTCGAGGAGCACAAGGGCAGCTGCGGCATCCCCGCCTCACAGCGTCTCACCATCACTTAGCGAGGAACCCGGGCCCTCCAGCACGGCCCGCTGCTCTCCGGCCGCTGAGGAGGCCGGTGCCGCAGGGCAGGAGGACCCCAATAAAAGGGAGCGGTGTTGTCTTGCCTTGAGCCTGGAGTCTGCTTTCTGGCCCCAGGGCAGAAGTGCCCCGACACCCCTCCCCTAAATCTGGATCTCAAGGAAGAGGACCTTGGTCCGGCCAGCTCGGCAGGCCCAGCGGGGAGAGCGGCCTGGAATGGGCGCAGCTTGGTGGAGCCCTCCGGGAATGCCCCCTCCTGCACAGACCGACAGCTGCGGGGGGGGGGGGAAGCATCCCCCCACTCTGCTAGCGCTCTGCTTGCGGGGAAGTGTTTTCATCCCAGGAGGTGCTCCGGAGAAGGCTCATTTGTGTGTGTGGGGGGGCGGGGGGGCGCTACCTTTGAGGAAGGGGCGTCTTGGAGAACAGAGCTCAGTTTGGGAAGATGCCCCAGGCAGCAGCCAGATGAGGACATACTTGCCTCTGGGAAGAGCATCCTCCGTGTGGGAGAGGGGGGAGGGGGAGGGGGAGGGCCGCCCCGGAGGAAGCAGAGGCCCCCACACGAGCCCCACAGGGACGGGGGGCACCAGGGCTGCTACAGCCCGGGGGTCTCAGGTGGCAATGCGAGGAGGCCGCAGCTCAGGGTTTGGCCCCGGCGCTTGGCGGGCCGCGCATTTCCTCGGAGGGGCACCCCAGTGCTGCCCGGGCATCGCGGGCCTCCCCCCCACTTGCGCCTCCTTGCGTCGAAGGACGGGGCAGAACGAGGCAGTGGGGGCCGGCCTGGGGGGGGTGCCGGGCTCAGGGAAGGGGCGGCTAGGGGGCAAGGCGTCGCTTTCCAGGTATTCCTCGTGGTCCCCAGAATTGCCTCCGCCTCGGGCAGCAGCCTGGCTGGCGACCCCGGCCCCTTTCCCGCTGGCCTCCCACTCGCACAGTGAAGAAGAGCGGGGTCGAGGCGCCGCGAAGCCCGTCCTCCCGCTTTCCGGGGGCAAAACGGGACCGGGACCGGGACGGCCAAAAGAGGCGGGGGCGCCGCCCGCCAGGCCCGCAGGCACCGCTGGGATTCGAACCCAGGATCTCCTGTTTACTAGACAGGCGCTTTAACCAACTAAGCCACGGCGCCGCGCGCTGGCTTCCGCTGCGGCCACCGGAGCTGTTCCGCGCAACCGCGGAGAGCGCGGGGAAACCCGGCCCGGGGCGGCGGAGGACGCGGGCCGGGGCCGCGCCG